GCAGATGTGACCGTGTAGGTGGCTCCCGTTGCTGCAACCAATCATTACCAGGGGTGTGCTGAGGTGCCGGGGCATGGAAGCAAGGACGGGGAGGATTTGCTCATGTCCCAGTGTGTCTCAGCCCCTGTCCTGCCATTCTCAGACCATGGAACTGGGCTGTCCCCTCTCCATGAATTGTCCAACATCTGGGCATTTTAAGAAAAAAACCCTCAGATTCCCAAGGATATGGAGAGCTCTGCTGATGTTTGCCATCACAGTCTTATCTCAGAGACAAAAATGCTGAGAAACATAGGGTCCATCTCTCATGGTCTGCAGGAGAGGCAGAAGAAGCTCCACTTTAGCCTGGTGAGGGCTGGTCCCTGATCTTTCCCCAGACTGGCCTGGAGTTAGAACCATCACTGGGTCAGTTCCTGATAGCATCAGGAGTTTAATGATTTCTAAAATTAAAAATGAGTAAAATAGGGGTGGAAAGTGCAGGATTAGATATGTGAGCCAGTGAAGGAATGTCACAGCTCAGGACCATCCCTGTGGGAAGGAAGAGCATGTCCTGCAAAATAAGGACAGGGAGATGGAAGCCATCCTTATACTGCAGACTCTCAGCTCGGCAGGACCTCTTGAGTCATTGATAGCCTACGGTGAACAATGTCAGATCCGTGATCTCCAAAGAAGAAGATTTAGCTTTGGGACCAGGGACCAGGCTTGATCACTCAGGACCTTTTGCATAGCAGGGTTTTATGAAAGTAAGAAAAGGGCCAGAGAAGGCTTCTGACATAGACATCAGAAGGGGGACGGAGAGTGCCGCCCTCGCTAGTGTTAGCAAGGGAGCTATATACTTTTTAATTAGTTATTACAATAAATCAAAAGCATGTCTCAAGGTTGTAAAGATCTTACTAGGCCCACTCCCATAATTTATATTTTAAGATAACAGGATTAGCCAGAAGGTTTTCAGGAAGGAAAAACTTTCTTCAAGCAGGATACATTGCTGTTATATAATCCTTACTAAGGAATGTAGAAGAAAAAAATAATAAGTTTGTCCTTCCCTCCTCCTTGAGAATTCCAGACCCCTATCTCCTCTCTGAGAACTCCAGACCCCTCTCTCCTCCTCAGGGACCCTGGAATTCTTATCAACCTGCCTAGGAATTGACTCTCTCATTCCCCCCTTTTCTTTTAGGAGAATTATGTTGCCAAGAGAAAGGGGCATTGTTTTCATTCCATAATTACTTCCTGCTGTTGAGGGGCATAGTCCCTAAACTGTTGAGGCAACATATTCTGCTAACCCTCATACTGAGGGTCTTTGACCAGGTGCCCCAAGTAATAGTTGGAGGAGGCTGTGACACTCGTAGGACCCTGGACAACCATCTGTAACTTAAAAGCTTTCAGATGGTTAGAAACAAACCCCATTTTACAGTTACAGGTGTAAGGCAAAATAGTCATTAAATCAAGTTAAAACATAAAATTTTAATTCTAAATCTAAAAGTCACATTATGCCCTTAATTAAGTTATACCAGTCCATCTTAGGATTGTTAGATGTCATCAGATCAAGAAGAGGTGTCACATACGATTGTTGTTGGTGATAAAGGTATTCAGAGTTGAAGAAAGTCCTTCTCTTGAAGTGGAGAAACCCACCATGGGAAGCCATCAATTGATGAGAAGGTTGAAAAGCTGAAAGCTGGGTCGCATAGTTAATTCTAAGGCTTCAGGGTCTATAACAATGTCTGTGCATAAGAAGGGTCTTCCATATATACATTCAAAGGGGAACAGTCCCTCCTTTTGGGGGACAGTTTGAGTCCTCATTAAAGCTATGGATATAATTTTAAGCCAATTGTCCTGTGTCTCTTGAGTTAATTTGTGCAGATGTGTCTTAATAACATCATTAGTTTTTTAAACCTTTCTTGGGAATTGGGGTCTCCAGGAACAATGTAAGTAATAGTCTAATCCTAAAGCTTTTGACACCCCCTGAGTTACAGCAGTTTTAAAGGTGGTGCTATCGTCACTCTGGAGGCTCTGCAGCAGCCCAAACCTGGGAATAATTTCAGGGATTAAAACTTTTATAACTTCCTTAGCCTGTTCACCACAGCAGGGAAAGGCCTCAATCCATCCAGTAAAAGTGTCTACCCAGAACTGTAAGCCAAAAAATCCATTTGTTTTTGGCACATGAGTAAAAGGAACGACAGCCTCATTTATTATTCATAAATCTTATTATGAGATAACAAGATTATTCATAAATCTTATTATTCATAAAACTAGTCTCCATTTATCATTTGATTTTTTTATACACAAAATAGGAGTGTTGCATGGACTGTTACAGGAAATTAATAGCCCCCACTCCTTTAAATTCTCAATTATGGGTTTTAACCCTTCCTTAACCTTTTAGTGGATACTGCTTTTGATGTGGAAATAGGTGAGGATCTTTGAGCTTGATAAAGACAGGAACAACATTTTGTGCTCGACACACAGTTTTTCCATCAGCCCACACTTTAGGATTTACATTTTATTCAACTAATGGGAGAGAAGGAGCAGGCTCCACATTAGTGAAAACAGAGGCCTGGAACTTGCTCAGTATATCCCTCCCCAGAAGGGGTGAGGGAGACTCCAGCGCAAATGGAAACTCAGGAGAAAATAGTACAGAGTCCCAGTTGCAGCTTGAAGGATGACTGAAACAATAACATTTGGCTTGTCCAGATAGTCCCATTACGGTAGTGGATCAGAAGAAAAGCAGGCCAGGGGCTTCAGTGAGGACAGAGAAATTTGCCCCAGTGTCCAAAAGAAAATTGGCTGATTGGCCCTCCACAGTTATTAATACCCAGGGCTCCTCAAGTGTTATTAGGATGGGGGTTTGTGTGGGGACCCCTGGACACCTTCAGTCCTGATTGTCCTGAGGGTCTGACCCCTGGGGCTTGCACCTCAGAGGACAGTCTCTCCTCCAGTGTGGTCCCTTGCAGACCAGACATGGAGCCAGGGGTGGCTTAGATGCCTGAGGGCAATCCTGCTTGAGATGCCCTACTTTCCACAGTGATAACAAGTTCGCCCCTTTTCACCTGGGTCCCTCTGGGCCTTTTTCTCTTCAGGCTGATTCATAGCAGTTCTCACAGCCATCACTAGAGCCTGGGTCTTTTCTTTGGTTCTTTTCTGTTGTCGTTTTTCCTCATTTCTCTACTGTAATACACTGTCTGAGCCAGCTGCAACAGTCTTTCTAAAGATTGATTTGGTCTGAACACCTGTNAAGCTAGAGTCCCACCTAGTTCCCAAACTGGCCGCTGGAACTAGGGTTCCACCTCTCTCCATGCATGCTCCCAGTAAATTTCTAGCAAGGCTAAGCACTTCCATACAGGGGATCTTAGTAAAAGTACACAAAAACAGCATGGATCACAAGTCCCTTGAAAGTTTATGACCTGACAGATTATGTTAGTGGTTTTAATTCCCCAATTACAAAATGGTCAAAGAGACCAAGAAAAGGTGACTGAGAATGGAAAGTTTGGTCCCACGTGATTTGCCCATCTCTGGCCATTCCCTTTGCAGGGATTTTGGGTGTCTCTTGGCATTGGCAGGTCGATGTAAACCCCTGACAAGGTTCCCCTTTCTGCTTCCATGACTGGCTTCCATCAGTCATTATGCAGCACTGTGAAACAACAGAGCAGGACTCATCACTTGCTTCCTGGAGGGCGTGTCATTCATTCACAAAAGCACATGGAAGAGTTAGTAAAGTAAAGCAGAAAACGTGCATGCTGAAAAAGAAGAGAGTCTAGAGCTCTGATCATTCTCACGTTGTCCTGAAGATCCCGGCTGAGCCCCCAGAATGATAGCTTATGGTGAACGGTGTCAGATTCATGACTTCTGAAGAAGATGATTTAGCTTTGGGACCAGGGAGCAGTCTTGATCACTCAAAAGCTTTTGCATAGCAGAGTTTTATTAAAGTAAGAAAATGGACAGAGAAAGCTTCTGACATAGACATCACAAGGGGGATGGAGAGTTCCTCCCTCACTAGTCTAAGAAAGAGAGTTATATAATTTTTATATTGGTTATTACAATAAATCAAAAGAATGTCTCAAGATTGTAAAGATCTTACTAGACCCACTCCCATAGTTTACATGTTTCAGACAACAGGATCACCCAGAAGGTTTTCAGGCAGGAGAAACTGTCGTCAAGCAGGATATACTGTTGTTAAAAAATCCTCACTAAGGAATGTAGGGGGGGGAAGTTTGTCCTTTCCTCCTCCTTGAGAATTCCAGACCCCTATCTCCTCTTTGAGAGCCCCAGACCCCTCTCTCCTCCTCAGGGACCCCAGGCTTCTTATCAACCTGCCTAGGAATTGACTCTTTCACCACCTCATACCAACTAGGCGTCCTCCACAGAGTGAGTGCTCCAATCATACTTTGTTGTTGCTGTTCAGTCACTAAGTCATGTCCAACTCCTTGCGACTCCATGGACTGCAGCACATCAGGCTTTCTTGTCCTCCACTATCTCCTGGGGTTTGCTCAAACTTATGTCCATTGAGTTGGTTATGACACCAACCATCTCATCCTCCATTGCCCCCTTCTCCTCCTGCCTTCAACCTTTCCCAGAATCAGAGCCTTTTCCAATGAGTTGGCTCTTTGCATCAGGTGGCCTAAGTATTGGAGCTTCAGCATCAGTCCTTCCAATGAATATTTAGGGTTGATTTACTTTAGGATTGTCTGGTTTGATCTCCTTGCAGTCCAAGGGACTCTCAAGAGTCTTCTCCAACCCCACAGTTCAAAAGTATCAGTTCTTTGGTGGCTGGCCTTTTTTATGGTCCAAGTATACTTAGGAATTGGTGAATTAGAGGAAATGTTCATGTTTCAGGTCAGTTGGAGCTCATCTGGAAGAAGAGTGGGTATCTAGCTGTCCCTTGGTCGGGGGCAGTGGGTCACTGAAGGGATCCTGTTCTCCGAAAGAATACAACCTTGTGACCTTGACCTGCAACTTCTCATTGCCTCCCACTTGCTCTTTGCTGTCTGCCGCTTGTTGCCTAGCTGAGATCCATGTCACCCTATGGGAATGGAAACCTCTCAGTGATGCCTCTGCAGGAGTTCGTGCTGGATGGGTTTGCGGGTGGCCCACAGACTCAGGCCCTGCTGTTTGCTCTGTTCCTGGCACTGTATGTGGTGGACGTCCTGGGGAACCTCACCATGATCGTGCTCATCACCCTGGATGCCCGTCTGCACTCCCCAATGTACTTCTTCCTCAAGAACCTCTCCTTCCTGGACCTGTGCTACTCATCTGTCATCTACCCCAAGGCCCTGTTTGACTTAATGTCGTCAACCAAGGTCATCACCTTTGCAGGATGTGTCACCCAGTTCTTCTTCTCCACCATGATCACCACTGAGGGATTCCTCTTGGCTGTGATGGCCTATGATCGCTTCGTGGCCATCTGCAGTCCCCTGCGCTACCCCATCTCCATGCGCCCCTCGGTCTGTGCCTGCCTGATGCTGGGCTGCTACTGTGGAGGCTCCTTCAACTCCATCCTACAAGCCAGCTTCACATTCAGCCTCCCATTCTGCAGCTCCAACCACATCGACCACTTCCACTGTGATGTTCTCCCTCTGCTCAAGCTTGCCTGTGCTGACACTACCATCAATGAGCTGGCCTTGTTTGGCCTGTGTGGCCTCATCATTGTGGGCACCATACTCGTGATCCTCATCTCCTACGGCTACATCACAGGGACCATCCTGAGGATGCGCTCAGGAGGAGGGAGACACAAGCTGTTCTCCACCTGCGGCTCCCACATGACAGCCTTGTCCCTCTTTTATGGAACCCTTTTTGTCATATATGCCCAGCCGGGAGCTGTGGAGTCCATGGAGCAGGGCAAGGTGGTCTCTGTCTTCTATACCCTGGTCATCCCGATGCTCAACCCCCTCATCTACAGTCTGAGGAACAAGGAGGTGAAGGATGCCCTGTGGAGACTGGGGCAGAAACACACAGCCATGTGAAGGAGGGTGACTGGAGAGACTGGTTTTCCTGAGGGCAGGATAACAGGGCTTTGGAGGAGGCACTAGGTTTAGTTTGAGGGATTAATTCCTCATTCATTTAATTTATTCTTTCATCCTATATTTTATTTAATCCTTCTTGGAAGCATATCCTGGGGAAAAAAAAACTGCAAGTGTGAGATGCAAAATGAATAAGGCATTTACTTGCAAACAGAAAATTAATATCCTTAAAGGGTAAGACTCCAATCTCAAAGTCTGGGTAACAGAGTGGGCGGAGTGATGAGCAGAGAGTCTCTGAAACAGCATATGTGTCCAAATTCAACATCCTTCACTGAAGACATGAAACTACACAAACTCTGATGCCTCCTCCTTCATTTCACTTCACTGAATCCATGTAAATATGTGCTCTGCATTCTCCCCTCGACCGCCTAGAAGGGGGGCATTGGTAGGCTCAGCCTTGCCCCTTCCTTGGTGATAACATGGGGGTCAATTACAGGGAGTTAGGAAGACCATGCTTCCCCTCAATCCTGCAGCGGGACTGTTCCTCCACCTCCCCCTTCTGTTCACTGATGCTACCACCCAACAAGACAGCACGGAGCACCTGTGCTCCTGCTTTGGACGTTCCTAGTTCTCCCTGTCCTGGGTTTCTCCCCTTGGGAGCCCCAGGAATGCCCGACATCCATAGCTCCACTGATCCCTCACCACATCGCCTGGCAGGTGACAGTGTCCCTGCAGGTTAAGACCACAGAAAACGGTGCTTTGTTAGCCCAGGTATCTCTGAATAAGGAGGAAGGTCCTGGTATCTATTGCAGAGGCGGGAGTTAGAGAGGAAGGCGCACTTTCTTGGCAGAGAGCACAGCTCCCTGCTCTCTGCCCCACACTCCCCAGGGCAGCCTGGACCCTCACTCCTGACTTGCCTGTTCAGAGCTCCATCTTCATTGCTCCCTGGACTCAGCACACAGCCTGGACTCAGAGCCCAATGGCCTCCTTGTCATATATCCCTAGAGTCACCCACTCCCATGTCACTACCAGAAGACGGTCCCCTGGACACTGTATGGTCTGTACCTTATATGGTCAGTGGGGATGTGCCCTGCCTCTCTGATCACAGCTCTCCATCCCCCTGCTCTCCTGCTCAGGAGAACTGTGGGCGAGGGGCTAGAACACCCAAGTCATCAGACTGTTGATCACCATTACTGAATGGATAGATAATCCAAGGTCTCTTCTGGATTCTTGATCCCATTGTCTCACCTTTGGGCTCCAAAACTAACTCTAAGTCTTCCATAGATTGCTGTATTCCTCTCACATAATGCCTGCACTCTGAGGAGGAGTGCCTGCAATTTTCCATTCCCAAATGACACGCCTCCTTGTCATCTCATGCTACTGTATGATTCTATCTCCTGCTCTCTCTTTCTTCATTTCTTTTATTCTCCTCATCCTCCTCCTCTTTTCCTCATCTTTTCTTCCTTCCTTCTTTCTCTCTCTCTTTCATCTATTTTATTTTTGTCATTCTATGGAATATCTTCATTTAAATTTGTAAATGAAAGAAAAAGCACAATATGTTGTATGTGACTCTAGATTTCTTATCATTATGTCAATTTAATGGTACGAACAGAAAGAAATCTGTGGATCTTAGAAGATCATTAATTCTAAAGTTGACTAAATCAGGAAAGTTTGTCTGATTGTAGATTGAGTAGAAATTCTCAAGCAGTCTTAGAGAGAATGATTTTTAAAACCCTACAGGTTGGCTTTACCCCTGGTTGATCTTTACAGTGAAGATCACTGTACAGTGTTAGAAGTGGTTTATTTGGCTTTTTATTCTGTTAATGCTTTACAAGCTGCTGGTGGTACACAGTAGGTTCTTAGTTCACACCTAACCTACTGCCTGATTACAACTTGAGTTCAGTGTTAACTAGTCATTGAACCCCAAAATATGCATGATGCGTCCCTAGTTTTTTTATTGTCCATAAGTGGACAATAAACCCATTACATTTCAAGACCATACTGTAGTTTTGACATTGATTCTATACTAACTTTTACAAGTTTCTACCTTTTTATAATGCAAAGAAATAGCATTTTTTGTTGTAACTAATTTTGAGAGTGCAGTTCAGTAGTGTTTAGCATAGTCACCTTGTTGTATATCAGATCTCTGAACTTTTTGTATATCAGATCTCCAATCTTGCAGTCCTGAAACTCCATGCCCCTAAACAATAACTCCCTGTTTCCCCATTACCGCCACTACTGGCAGCCACCATTCTACTCTCTGTCTCTATGAATGTGACTTCTTCAGATGCCTGAGATAAGTAAAACCCACAGCATTTGTCTTTTTGGGTTTGGTTGTTTCATTTAGCATAGTGTCCTCAAGATTTAGCCATTTTGCAGCATCTGACTGGATTTTCATCCTTTTTAACGCTGAATAGTATTCCATCACGTGTGTATATTTTGTTTACCTCATCATTCACCAAGGAACACTTGGGTTGCCTCCACCTTTAGACTAAGCAGAAGAGTGTTGCCATGTAAATGGGCATGCAAATATCTGTTAGAGAAACTACCTCTTTTCTTTCTTGTCTTTTTTTGTTTTAGTATATATTCAGATGTTTGTTTGCATTATATAGTAATTCTTTTTTAATTTTGGGAAGAACCCTATATTACTCTTCATGGTAGATGTACCATTTTTCTTCCCATCAACAGTGCAAAATCATTGCAATTTCTCCACAAAATAGCCAACACATGTCCTTTTCTCTTTCAGGTCAGCCATTTAATGATTGTAAAGTATTATCTCTTTATTGTTTTTATTTCTCTAGTGATTGGTGATTTGAGCATTTTCTTATATGTTTGTTGGCAATTTGTAGGTTATCTTTAGAGGAATGCCTTCAAGCAATATGTACATTTTAAATAAGGTTATTGGCTTCATTGTAGTAATTTTTATGTATTCCAAATATTATCCTCTTATTGGACATTTGCAAACATTTTCCCCATCCCACAGGTTGCCTTCCCACACTGTTGTTCATATTTAAGTCTTTAATGAACACATTTTTAAGTCTGATATCATCCCACATGTCTATTTTCACTTTTATTTCATATGCTATTGATGTCATATCCAAGAAACCATGCCCAGACCTAAGATTATTAAGCTTTTCTCTTATTTTTTTTCCATGGATTTAAGAGACTTGCATCACCCATTTAGGTTTTTATTCCATTTTAAGGTAGTTTTTGTTCATGATGCAAGGTAAAGGACCAACTTCATACTCATGTACATACATAGCTAGTTTTCTGATGCCATTTGTTGAAGAGGCTGTGTTTTCTCCATGGGACATTTGTTGAAGGTCATTTGACTAAAATCATGAAGGTTCATTTCTGAGCTCTCTATCCTGCCCCATTGTTCAACCAGTCTGTCTTTGTGCTAATACCATACTGTTTTGATTACTGTAGCTTTTAATGTTAAGAAATAAAGAAGTCTGAGACCCCCAAATTTCTTTTTAAGTTGGTTTTGGCTATATAGCCTCCCTGAGACTCCATATGAATTTAAAATGTAATTTCATTTTCTAGAAAAAATAGCATTGTGATTTTGATAAGGGTTGCACTGAATTTCAGCACACATTGGGTATTACTGTCATCTTCCAACTCATGCACTTAGGATATCTTTCATTTATGTTGACTAGCTTTAATATCTTTCAGCTATGATTTCTAGTTTTATATCCCTAAGTCTTTTGTACCCTTGGCTAAGTTTAGTCCTTAGTATTTTATTCTTTTTAATATTTTTGTAAATGGATTGGTTTTATTAATTCCTTTTTATGTAGTTCATTAATAGTGCATATTGATACTTCTGACTTTAATGTATTGATTTTATATATTGACACTTTGCTAAATTTTGTATTTCTAACAGATTTTTCATGGATATTTAGGGTTTTGTATACATAATATCATGTCATCTGTAAATAGAGATATTTTTTAATTCTTTATCAACTTGGATCTCTTTTATCTTTTTCATGCCTACCTGCTCTAGTCAGGACCTCCAGTACTATGTAAAACAGCGGTTTTACTATGTTTTACTATATAAAACAGTGGCAAGAGGCATTCTTATTCTGTTCCTAATCTTAGAAGAAAAGCTTTTACTAGTGAGTATGATGTTAGCTGTGGGAGTTCATATGTGGATTTCATTAAGTTGAACTTTTTCTTTCATTTTCTATTTGTTTTTTAATATACAATGAAAGGGAGTTGAATTTTTAAAACATCCACCTGCATTAACTGAGCTGATCTTGGGATTTTCCCTCATCATCCTCTTAATGTACTTGGTTACACTCTTTGATTTCCAAAACATCACAAGTTTCATAGTATTTACTTACATACTAGTCAGTAATACTATTTTCTCTCTCCTCACCCCATATTTTTATGTATCATGCACATAAATGTTTGTTGTCATCAAAGCAGTTATTTAGCAGGAAAGAGAATAAATATCTTGTTGTATCACCTTGACTCAAACTTCACACAGAAAAAAAAATCCCTGATACCTTCCCCATACTCTTTACCATTCCTCCTGAGCCCACCTGGATGCAGGGCTTTACCATCTCCCATCGAACAATGGTAAGCATTGACTGAAAGGGCCCATTGCCTCCACTTGGCCTCTTGTCAACTCACCTTCACTACCATCATCAAAGAGAATTGTTTGAGAAATAATCAAAATACACAGACAAATTTCCACCTGGTGAGACTGATTTCAGGGGGAATAGGTTTGGCATCAGTGGCTCAGATCTGACAAACTGTGTCTCTCATGGAGGAGCCAGGTCAGTGGTCTGATGAGAATGCGGTGATTCCACTTGTGTCAGATGCTTCCAGGGTTCCTGCCCCATCTCACCAAGGGCATGGGTGACAGTGTCATTAGAGCTGATGACCTAGACCTCCAGCCACAGCATCCACCTTCCTAGTCTCAGAATGGAAGACACAAATATTTATATCTATACAAATATACTTACTTTATAATACAGTTATATTTATACTTCTGAATACTTATATTTAGAATACAAATGCCATATTTATACTAATATTATATAATATATAAAATACTAAAATAAAATCCACTTCTGGAACTTTCCATCACCCAAACCGAGACAAAGAAGTTTGTCAAAATCCCATTTCTTGTCCTCCAAAGTTAAATACTATCTTGACTCTAAAATCAGTGCCATTAATTCTTGGTAGAATTTACATACAACAGAACAAATTGATTCNTAGATGGCAAAGTAATGTCTCTGCTTTTTAATATGCTGTCACCTTACTAGACAACACCATGGTCATGGAACACTTTATAGACTGCTTCAGTCCCATGGAACCAGGGCCTCTTAAAAGAGAAGCCTTATCTTTTTCAGTTGTGTAGAGTAAGGGATGGCAAAATGAATAAGAATAGAAGAAAGGGAGTCTCTATAATGTAAAACTAACATGAAAATTAATGAAGTTGAGAAAAAAATATGTCTTTCTACTCAAGAAACCTTTTCTAGATATACACTTTAGAGGGGGAAAAATATCCATTGCATAACAAGCACTATTGAAAAACCAAATAAAAATGAAGTAACCTAAATGTCTCTCTAAAGAAGATTCTGCAAGTATTTAGGGTATGTTTTCATGTTTAACACAATTGAAATAAATGAGCTAGAACATGGAAGGGTTGGGAAAGGTGATCGAGGTCCCTGCAGAGTGCATTTTGACATGAAGCTGGAGAGGTGATACACCCCTGAGGTGGGAGAGTGAAGGTGTGTTGCTGACCTTGCCAGGTAAAAGCACTACCCTCTTGTGTCCGTTGTCAGGGCCACCGCAACTAATTAACACAAAGTTGGCAAATTATAGCGATAGGAACTTACTCTCTCATGGGTCAGGAGGGTAGATATCCAAAATCAAGTTTTCAGCCGTTCCTGCTGCCTTATAAATTTCTCTGAAAAAATTCTCCCTTGCCTTTTCCCAGGGTCTGGAGGCCCCTGGTGTCCCTGGCACTCCTTCCCGTTGCTGTATTGCTCTCACCTCTGCTCGTCTTTACACGCCCTTTGTCTCTATGTCTCTGTGTCCTTTCCCTCCTCTTATAAGGACATCAGTCACTGGATTTACAGTCCACCTAATCCAGCATGACCTCATCCTAACACATTCATTTTGAAAGACCCTATTTTCAAATAAGATCATTTTCTTATTTTCAGGGTGGACTTTTTTTTGGAGGGAGACACTATTCACTTTATCATAGTGATGTTCTCTATGCTTCAGGGGAATTTACATTCTACAGTTTCTGAGTATAGTCTTCTATCTATACCCAACAATCTCATTTAAGTAATATATTGAATCAAATCTAACATATGACTGCAATTTTTCTGTTTGCTTATCAGTTACTGAGACAGTATGATAAGCCATGATTTTAATGTTTGCACTTCTTTTTAATTCTGTCATATTTTCCTTTAATACTTTATCTTTTTAGTTTCATACAAATTTTAAATTTTCACATCATTCACTTGAATATTGAGTATTGAAAATTGAATTTTCATTATAAGTCAGTCAGTGTTATTCACTCAGTCATGTACAACTCTTTGTGACTGTATGGACTGTAGCCTGCCAAGCTTCTCTGTCCATGGAATTCTCCAGGCAAGAATGTTGGAATAGGTTGCCATTTCCTTCTCCAATTTCATTATATGTCCTTTTATTGAAAAAGACACATGTACCCCAATGTTCATCACAGCATTATTTACAACAGCTAGTACATGGATGCAATCTAGATGTCCACTGACAGATGAATGGAGAAAGAAGCTATGGTACATGTATGCAATGGAATATTACTCAGTCATAAAAAGGAACGCATCTGAGTCGGTGCTAATGAGATGGATTAACCTAGAGCCTATCATGCAGAGAGAAGTCAGTCAGAAAAAGAAAACCAAATATCATCTATTAATGCATATATATGAAATCTAGAAAGATGGTACTGATGAACGTATTTGCAGGGCAGCACTGAAAATGCAGAAAAGGAGAACAATCTTATGGACATGGGGTGGGGGGAGGAGAGGGTGGGACAAACGGAGATAATAGCATGGAAACATATGCACTACCATATGTAAAATAGATAACTAGTGGGAATTTCCCCTATGATTCAGGGAACTCAAACCAGGACTCTATGACAACCCAGAGGGGTGGAATGAGGAGGGAGGTAGGAGGGAGTTTCAAGAAGAAGGGAACATGTGCACACCTAGAGCAGACTCATATTGATGTACGGTAGAAACCAACACAGTATTGTAAAGCGATTATCTTCAATTAAAAATAAATAAAAAATGTTTAATGGATTTAAAAATGTCCTTTTATGAGCAAAATTTTCTCCTGAAATCTACTTTGTCTAATAATTATTGAAATATAGCAGCCTTGGCTTTTTCAGGATATTTATGATACTACATTTTTCAACTTTTTATTTTCACACTTCCTATATTTTAATATTAATCATATATCACCTTTGTACTTTGTTTTGGGGTTTCTGTCCATGATTAAAACATCTTGTTTTAATAGATATACTTACTCAACCTGCACGAGGGAAGGGCCACATTATAAATGAGAAAGCGTTTTGCACCTTCTGCGGACACAGAGTCCTGCCCGCCACTCTCTCCCACACCAACATACAAGCATGGAGCAGAGCAGGAAGGGCTGCAAGCCAGGGGGTCACACCCACAGTCCTGGGGAGGCCTTTCCAAGATGGCCGCTGGTCCTTCTAAAGTGACTTGCTTCCTGTCCTGTGGGCCCCAGTGCTCCCATGGGATTTCTGGCTTCCTGCCCCTCCTGGTTTGGACTGAGATGTATCAGAGGAAGTTTGGCCACAGGACTGCATCTTGCTGGGATCCAGGGAATTGGGAGTCCCAGTGCACTCACAGGCCAAGTCTCACCTAATTGGCCAATTGAGGATGAGAGCCCCAGCTGCGCCAAGTGGAGAGCATCTTCCCCAGCAGAGGGGCACAAAGATGCAGGTGCCATGAATACTATCCAGCTGTGGGGGCAAGACAGAAACAGGTGAGTTGAGCCAGTCTTCTGCTGGTACCAAGACCCGAGCACTTCCTGTAGCAGGCACTTGGAGTACATGGCCTGCCTGGCCTCAAGTCCCAGACCTGCAAACAGAGAGCATCTTCCCAGCAGAGTGACCCTCGGGTGCAGGAACCTACATGTTGCCCACATGACGGATAATGTGGAGAGTCAGGTGACTGAGTCCATCTCCTGCTGTGCTTCCATCAAGACCCAGGAGTTCCTGCAGCCAGAGCCTGCTGCCCTCCGCTGTCCCGTCCTCACTCACGTCCCTGCACAGGAGACCAGGGGTGGATGAGGGAGGAGGTGCTCAGTGCCACGTCATTATCACCAGCATAGACCTGGGTCAGTCCTGTCCTCCCTGGGAGCACAGGGTCCTAGGTGAGCCATGCCCCTCCTGACATCACAGGAGCACTGCGGTCATCACTCAGCAGGGCTTGGTCAGCATCACTGACAGGTGAGTCCTGGGAGCCTGGATCCTGGACAACAAGGTCCCCTACTCCCCACTGCCCTGGGCAGGGTCAGTTAGGGCGGCAGGTCTGAACACTAATGAGAGTGGAAACAATTGGGGGATGTTGTATAAATGTAGGTTTTAATTCAGTGCCTGAGACTTTGAATGTCAGAGTAGCTCACAGCCCTGCTGGTTCTGCAGGACCTCAGAGCACACCTGAGTGACTAGATTCAGAATGAAAGGACCCAGGATGTAGTCACTACAAATAGAGTCTCGCAGAGATCACTGATTCTTCTGCCTCATCTGGGAAAGTATTTCTCAGGATCAACTCAGAGGCAGGTTTATTGCAGCCACCACCACAGCCCTACTGGGTCATTTCAACAAGCCAAAGGAATGTGAGTTTGTATTTCAAAAACCAAACCACGACTTGGCTTTCCTGATGAAAATGTCAATCTCTGCTCATGTGCTTCCCCAGGCATCCTAGAGGTCACTGTTGTGATGACCCAAGGTTTCTGAGGTGGATGAATTGTTCTGGGAAACAGAACAGAAACAGGAAACTGGGAAGCCCAGGGGACAGAAAAACCAGACAGCCTGCCTGAGAGTGGTGGATGAGAGAGTTTGTCACTCTGGTCACAGTGGATCCATTGTGTGCCTGAGCAGGGAGTGAGCAGAGATGGACAGCAAGGGCATGGCCATCTCGGGTATGCACAGAGGGGGTTCCATGTACGGGGTGGGTGACCAGGGTGTGTTGGGCAGACCGCAACTCCACGCATAACACCCAGATTAAAACCTGATTTGAGAGGAGCCATCCGGGGCATCCCTGGTCTGACTGTCCCCCTCTGCTGTCGTGTGAGGGTTGGAGTCAAGCAGCCCAGGAAAGAAATGCTGCCAACCCACACTTTCATTTGCACTTCTACTGGAAAGTCTTGCCTCTCATGGATCACCATCTAAGAACTTCAGGCTGGGAGGGAACTTGGGGGCCATTGCTCCTCAACAGGCACCACTCACCACCACCCTCTGCCTGCGCACCCCCACTTCTGGGGGACTCTCTCCCTCCAAAGGCAGCCAGCTCCATGGTGTTGCAGATCTGACCTCTGAGAAGCATGCAGTCTCTTTAGAATCAGCCTCCACCCTCTCACTAACCTTCCTTCCCCACCCCTCACCCCCGAGAGGCACCCTGGGTCTGTGCCCACCATTCTTCCCCACTCAGCCACACCTCTGGCCATCACACAGTGGGTCTCCATGCCCCACGGGAGTGTGGCCATCACACAGTGGGTCTCCATGCCCCACGGGAGTGTGGTGGTCAGCCCCGTGCAGTGCAGACAAGGGCGGTCTGGGCTGTGACGGGGCAGGAAGCGGCACCCAGCAGGAGGACCCAGACGCTGAGCAGGTGTGAGCGTGTTGGAGGCTCCCAGGGCTCCAAGCAGTCGCCTCACAGGTGCTCCGAGGAGCCAGGACAGGGAAGGACACGCCCATCTCCCTGTCCTGCCGCTCCTCAGACCATGGAGGTGGGCTGTCCCCTCCACGTGTTTTCCAACACTGGGACGCTGGCAGGAGCCCCCCCTAGGCCCTCAAGGACACACGGCGCTCTGCTGACAGCATGGCACTGTGGTCCAGGCTCCAGACAGTGAGGCTGAGATGGGGCTCAGGGGTTGCAGGAGAGACAGAAAACACACAACTTGGCCTCTAGGGGGCTGGTTCCTGCTCTATTCCCTTCCTGGAGATGGAATCATCACAAACTCAAGAGCAGGTAGGTACGAGGTCCTCAGTTCACATTTCTAAGATTAATGAATTAGTTAACGAGGCACAGATAATTTACGATAAGATACATGAGCAAGATGTATGATAAGATACATGAAGTAGCACCATTAGGGGCATTCCCTTGGGAGTGGAAAGCGTTTCTCTGAGAGGAGGGACAAGGGGCTGCAACACTGCTCACACTGCAAGGTCTCACTGACGCACCCATCCCTGCCCCAATAAATAGCAGCTCAGACTTTCCCACAGAGGGCATGAAATCTGCATATTTGTGGTTTAGTGAACTGGAGGAAATCTTTGCCATTTCAGGTCAGTCTGAGCACATCAGAGATGGGCAGTGTGGTCTCTTGGTCAGTAGGCAGTGAGGCACTGAAGGCTCTCTGGTCTGCAAGAGAATGTGACCTGTGACCTTGACCTACTACTCCCTCTTGCCGTCCCCGCCTGCTCTCTGCTGTCTACTCTGGGTGTCATCAGTTCAGGCCATGCCACCCCACAGAAATGGAAACCTCTCAGAGATGCCTCTGCAGGAGTTCATGCTGGAGGGATTTGAGGGAGGTCTGCAGACCCAGGCCCCACTCTTTGCTCTGTTCCTGGCCCTGTACATGGTGGCCGTCCTGGGGAACCTCACCATGATCGTGCTCATCACCCTGGATGCCCGTCTGCACTCCCCAATGTACTTCTTCCTCAAGAACCTCTCCTTTGTGGACTTTTGCTATTCATCTGTCATCGCCCCCAAGGCCCTGGCCAACTTCCTGTCCTCCTCCAAGGTCATCACCTTTGCAGGATGTGCCACCCAGTTCTTCTTCTTCTCCCTGCTGGTCACCACTGAAGGATTCCTCTTGGCCGTGATGGCCTATGACCGCTTCATGGCCATCTGCAGCCCCCTGCGCTACCCCATCTCCATGCGCCCCTCGGTCTGTGCCCGCCTGGTGCTGGGCTCCTACTGCGGGGGCTGCCTCAACTCCATCCTGCAGACCAGCTTCACATTCAGCCTCCCGTTCTGCAGCTCCAACCACATCGACCACTTCTTCTGTGATGTGCCCCCTCTGCTCAAACTCGCCTGTGCTGACACTACCATCAATGAGCTGGTCATGTTTGGCCTGTGTGGGCTCATCATCGTGGGCACCACACTCGTGGTCCTCGTTTCCTATGGCTACATCACAGGGACCATCCTGAGGATGCGCTCAGGAGGAGGGAGACACAAGCTCTTCTCCACCTGCGGCTCCCACATGACAGCCGTGTCCCTCTTTTATGGGACTGTCTTTGTCATGTATGCCCAGCCGGGAGCTGTGGGGTCCATGGAGCAGGGCAAGGTGGTCTCTGTCTTCTACACCCTGGTCATCCCGATGCTCAACCCCCTCATCTACAGTCTGAGAAACAAGGATGTGCAGGATGCCCTGTGGAGACTGGGGCAGAGACACACAGCCACGTGAAGGAGGGTGGCCAGAGAGACAGTGTCCTGAGAACATAGCAAGAGGGTTTTAGGGGAGGCACTGGGTTTTCTCTGAGGAATATATTCTTCATTCATGCAATTCACCCATTTTCACTCAATCCTTTGTGGAAGCACATGTTGGACCACACAAGCAAGTCTGAGATGCAGAGATGGATAATGCCACTGGAAAAATAATGGCCCATGATGGGGCAAGATTCTAATCTCAAAGTCTGGATAATACAGCAGGCAGAGTAATGAGCAGAGTATTGAAACGACGCATGTATTCCAGGTTCAACGTCCTCCAGGGAAGGTATGAAACAGTCTGAGCCCTCTCTCTTCACTTCACCTATGAATCTAATGTAAATGTGTGCTTAGCAATCTCCCCTGGAGCACATAGAAATGGCGGGGGTGGGGTGGCTGGGCGGGTGCAACAGGACGCTTATCCTGGCCCCTTCCTTGGTGATAGCCTGGGTCCCCACACAGGGAATTAGGGGAGTTAGGAAGACCACGCTTCCCCTCAATCCTGCAACGGGGGTGTTCCTCCCCACCCCCGCCCTGTTCACTGATGCCGCCACCCAGCAAGGCAGCAGGGAGCACCTGCTCCTGCTTCAGAGGCTCCCAGTGCTCCCCGTCCTGGGTTCTCCCCTCAGACAGCAGCTGGGAGCCCCAGGGAGTCAGCGTGGGTGCCCGACACCCAAAGTTCACCATCCAACCTGACAGGTGACAGTGTCCTGACTACGTGTGACCTTAAGAAATGGGGCCTTGTCAGCACAGACATCTCGGAATAAGGGTGGAGGGCCTGGTGCTGCTGCAGAGAGCAGGGGTGGGGAGGGAGGGGGCAGTTTCCTGGTGATGAGCACAGCTCCCTGCTCTCTGTCCCAGACTCCCTGGGAGCCTTAATTTTGACCAGCCCATCAGTGCTCCATTCTTGTGCTCCATGGACCCAACACACAGCCTGGACTCAGAGCCCAGTGGCCTCCTTAACACGTCTCCTTTTATTTATTATTTATTATTTTTTTTCCATTTATTTTTATTAGTTGGAGGCTAACTACTTTACAACATTGCAGTGGTTTTTGTCATACATTGACATGAATTAGCCATGGATTTACATGTATTCCCCATCCCGGTCCCCCCTCCCACCTCCCTCTCCACCCAATCCCTCTGGGTCTTCCCAGTGCACCAGGCCCGAGCACTTGTCTCATGCATCCAACCTGGGCTGGTGATCTGTTTCACCTTAGATATACATGTTTCGATGTATTATTTTTTTTTAACACGTCTCCTGTTAGTAGAATCATCCACTCTCAGTCACTCCCAAGGCTCCCTGGACACGGGATAGTCTGTACTCTGTAGGGTCAGGAGGAACATGGCCTGTCTGTCAGATCACGGCTCTCCATCACCCTAGTCTCCCTTCCCAGGAGAACTGCCTGAAGGGGCTGACAGCTAAGTTATTGGACCACGGCTCACGATTACTCAATCTGACATATAGGACACGGTCTCCATCGAACTCTTTAGCCCACTGATCTCCAAAATTAATTCTATGTCCGTCCTACTTGATTATATTTATCTTTGAATGCAATTTTTAAGACGAAATCCCCAAATTTTCTGCTCCACAAATGACACGGTCTCTTAACCTCAAGTGATAGCATCGTTCCGCCCCCAGCCTCTTTTCCCCGCCCTCTTCCTGCTCCTCCTCTTCCGTCTTTTCTCTTCCTGCTTGTTTCACTCCCTGTCTCTCACTTGTTCTCCCATTCCATGGGCTTCCCAAAGCACTGCACTCCTAATCTTAAACAAGATTTGGAATGGAAAAAAGAAAGTGCAATCTTCTTTTTTTCTTACACAGGAGTGCAATTATCATCGATATGTAAAATTTAAATGTACAGACAGTAAAGTATGTTTTGTTTTTAATCCATTTTGTTTTTAATCCATTAATCCATTTAATCCATTTTTGTTTTAATCCATTTTTGTTTTAATCCATTTTAAAAACAATGGATTGTTTTTAGGCTTCCCTGGTGGCTCAGTGGTAAAGAATCTGCCCGCTGATGCAGGAGATGCAGGTTCAATACCTGGTCTGGGAAGGTCCCCTGGAGAAGGAAATGGCCATCCACTCCATTACTTTTGCCTGGAAAACCCCATGGACTGAGGAGCCTGCCAGGCAACAGGCCATGGGGTTGCAAAGAGTTGAGCATGACTTAGCAAAAGGACAACAACTTACTCTTCTTAGAAAAGCGTTAAAAAGAAAGAAAGAAAGAAAGAAAGAAACGCATTAATTAGTACTTTGGAATAAATCAGGAAAGCTGGTCAGATATTAATGGAATAGAAATTCTCCAATAATCTGAAGGAAAAGATTTTTTTTTTAATCCTATAGATTGTCTTTTTGTTTACGTTACCTACATTTCAGATATCAGTGAAAATCACTGCACAATGTTAGAAGTGGTTTATTTTGTTTGTTCATCCCATACAATGCTTTGCAAGCTGCTGTCATAGGTAAGCTCTCAGTACATATCTCTTGGTGATTATCAGTAGAATTCAATCACTCAGTTGTGTCCAGCTCTTTGTGATACCAAGGACTGCAGCACGCCAGGCCCCCCCTTTCCAACACCAGCTCCCGGAGTTTACTCAAACTCATGTCCATTGAGTCGCTGATGCCATCCAGCCATCTCACCCTCTGTCATCCCCTTCTCCTCCTGCCCCCAATCCCTCCCAGCATCAGAGTCTTTCCAATGAGTCAACTCTTCTCATGAGGTGGCCAAACTATTGGAGTTTCAGCTTCAGCATCAGTCCTTCCAATGAACACCGAGGACTGATCTCCTTTAGGATAAACTTGTTGGATCTCCTTGCAGTCCAAGGGACTCTCGAGAGTCTTCTCCAACACCACAGTTCAAAAGCATCAATTCTTCAGAGCTCAGCCTCTTCACAGTCCAACTCTCACATCCATACATGACCACTGGAATGAACCCTAAATCTCTATTAGTTGTACACAAATTTAAATTTTCACATTATACAGTTGAAAGCTCACATTATCCAGAATAAAACATTCTCATTATAAAATGTCACCACATGAACATTTAGTCCTGAAATCTACTTTTTCAAATAATTATTGAGCCACCCAGTCTTATGTTTTTTTAAAAGAATGTTTACAATACAACTTTATCCAGCATGTTTTGTGTATTTTAGTATTAAACATTTATCACATTTGTATATTGGTTTTCCTTTTCCAGCCAGGATTAACATTTTTTTAGAGGATATATTTAGTGCTTCCCAGGTGGTGCTAGTGGTAAAACAAACAAACAAACAAACAAAAAACCTCTCTTGCCAATGTAGGAGACATAAAAAACGTGGGTTTGATCCCTGGGTTGGGAAGATCCCCCAGAGAAGGAAATGGCAACCCACTCCAGGATTCTTGCCTGGAGAATCCCATGGACAGAGGAGCCTGGCGGGCTACAGTCCATGG